GATAAATGCGCCAATCATTAGAGATGTCTATGCATATCTGTTATAATTGACTAACTTCTGAGTACTGCTGTAGTTCCAGTAAGAAGAACATTTAGCTAATTTTCCCATTAAGTTATGAAAACGTCTTTTTTTTTGGTTATGCAAATGTTAAAGGACCATTCCATTTGGTCCTTTTGCAAACATAATGAGAATGTTACTTTTACATGTTCTATATGAATGTTCTGAAACAAGTAGAAACAACATTTAAAAAGTGTTTCTGAAAAAAATGATCCATGGACGATGCATAAATAGTGTTTTTGTGTTAACGTTTTGAGAACATGAACAAACGTTCTGTTAACATTACTGGAAGCGCGTTTGTTCATAACTTTGAGAGAACCTCCCAACAATGTTCTGAGAATGTTCTCTGTGATCCAGGTTCATGCTGTCATTCTCTATGGCAGGCTCAGTTGCTAAACAGCGCTGAATAGTTGATGGGTTGCTTAGAATATAGGCTTTGATATGTAAATGTCGTAACTGTCAAAACCATGGTGATTTCTGAACAAGTCATTTTTGCAGCTTAGTTTCCATTGTGAATGTTAGAGAGTCTGCGTAGTACAGATAATTCTTATTTCGAAGGACAAGAAAAACAATGTTTGCCATGATATGTCCATTGTAACCTATGACCTCTCAGGGACTGAATCAAGCATGGCTTTAAAACTTTTAAAGGCAACCTGTTAGAAAAAAAAGTGCACGCAAACCCTTGTATTTTGCATACAGGTTTTGTGAGCCAATCATCTGAGCCATTCATGCCATGTGACTTGAGTCTGGAGCTGCAGGGAATGACAACACTGATTGGCTGATGACCACAAGATGCGCATATGGGCTTGCTTCTGACATCGCATACTGTCTGAGTAGGTACTTCTTTTGAATAAGCAATTACTTTGCAACTGTTAAAAAAGTATGTTCTGTATAGTATGAATATGTGCAGTATTAATGTAATCTGGATGTAGAGCCTACTACATTCATCATGTTGTCATTGTCATGTGACCTACCATGCTTTACCACAGTTGACAAATCCTCTCCCATGGCCTCATGGGATAGTAAAGTCTCCATGAGATGTGCACTTCAGAAAAATACTTGTTGCCTACTATATAGCAGGGAAGTGTGCGATTTTGGATGCAGCCATGATTCCAAACCCTGTGCTGTGATTAATAGTTTATTTCATTCAATTTATATGATATGACCTTACAGTGTATATGGGATTCATTCATTGGTTTTATGCCATAAAAGGTTTTTATATCATTTCCCTGCATCTCCAGAGTGATTAGGGGAAAAACGTTTACTAACTAGCAAAAGCCCTTGATATGCTGAATTATCTATGAGCAATTCCAACCAATCAGATTCTTGGAGATGATCTGCCGTTCTGTTCTATCATTTCCTGGCATTCATTCAGCACATAAAACAAGTCATGAAACGCAGGTGTCACCACACTCTCAAAACATTTTCCTCCATTACTAAACTCCTCCACATCAAGAGAAACAAGATGTAGGAAAATGTAAAATGAGCATCTTTCTCCATAACAAATACGAGGCCCTTTTCTTCACTCATACTGGCCCAATATGTTCACAAGCATGTGTGTTTGTCTGTGGTCACTGTAACACGTTAACAATGTAAATGGAACAGAGATGCTCTGTATATCCTGTTGCTAAATGGCACAGACTTCATCCATCTGGCCGACACGCACCTGCGTTTTGACCCTTCGTACCTGAGTCCCCGAAGGGCCACACATTTTGCACCATAACTGAGCAGATGTGCATGTGCTGACCAGGTTCTCATGTGTGTTTATGTGTGTGCACCTGCTCACATAAACACCTGTGCGCAGTGTTTTTAATCCATGCATACCCGTTGTGCACTGATCTATGCTGTCTGCATTTCTGATGTGAATATGTATGAAGCTGTTTAAACAAATGAACAATACAGTTCAAAAGTTTGGGGTCGGTAACATATATTTTTTTATTTTTCTGAAAAGTCTCTTATGCTCACCAAGGCTGCATTTATTTGATAAAAAATACAGCAATAATGTGAAATATTATTACCATTTAAATGAACTGTTTTCTATGTGAATATATTATAAAATGGCATTTATTCCTGAGATCAAATCTGAATTTTCAGCATCATTACTCCAGTCTTCAGTGTCACATTATCCTTCAGAAATCATTCTAATATGCTGATTTGCTGCTCAAGAAACATTTCGTATTAATATCAATGTTGAAAACCGTTGTGCTGCTTCATATTTTTATGGAAACCATGATCAATTTTATTTTTCAGGATTCTTTGATGAATAGAAAGTTCAAAACAAAAGCATTTATCTGAATCGCAAATCGTTTGTAATATTATTTACTGTCACTTTTGATCAATTTAATGCATCCTCGCCAAATAAAGGTAATAATTTCTTCCATCAAATAAAAAATCCTACTGACCCCGAACTTCTGAATGGTATTGTATCCAAACATGTATCCAGTATTTATCTATACTATAGCTAATAGACATAAAAAAGCTTCCAGTTTCTGTGCCTGTCATGTGGTCATTAATAAGGTCTTATGAATGTTATTGAGTATATTTAGTGCTTTAGTGAGCTTTGATGGCATCTACGTGTTTACAAATGTTGTCAATTTGACTGATATGCGTTAGTGTTTCTCTGTGGTCATGCATGCGCAGTGGCTCTGCACACACTGTATGCACATGCAAACTGCAGATCTGTGCATGCTGGCTGCAGATCAGCACACGTTGGCTGCGGATCTGTGCACGTACGGTTGGTGTATCTGCCAGACCCTGGCTGCTCAGGTAAGACTGGCTCTGGGTCCCGTAAGAACTCTCAGCTGTTAAAACAGTAGTGCTTCACTGAGAGAGAGGGAGAGAGAGTGAGTGAGGGGGGAAAGAAAATGCAAAAAAACTACTTCAGCTGCAACCTCGGATTCTCCATATCCCTCCCAAACCGCAACAAGCCTGTGGCCTGCCAGAGAGCGAGAGAAAGGTGGGGGGAAAGGGGAAAGAGAGGGAGAAAGAAAGAAAGTAGCTGCGAGCTTTACTCTACTGAGCGCTATTGTCAGCGGCCAAAACAAGCAGGGTGATGACATCATCAAACCTGAGACAGAACGATTCCTGAAGGCGTTCATGTGTAGAGTTGAGCGCAGAGCGGTGGAGTCGTATCCCAAATCACCCTGCACACCCTTCAAGCACAATTTACACTGCTGGCCAAGTTTAAACAATATAGCAGCACAGGGAAGGGAAGAGAAAAGCAGTCAGGGCTGTAGGTGCTGCGAGTCGGGTCGACGCTCAAAATTAATGTTCTCTGAAAGATCTACAGGAACAGAAAGTCCTGTCTGTGGGCTGTTGCATGTTACATATGTCACGGTAAAAGCCTTGGTTTCTACTGCACTCACTCAAGGTCACTGTATCTGTCCTGATATGGGAATGTCTTTTCCTAGGTTTTCACTCCTTCTGTTAAAGTTCACATGAATCATTTCAAACCTGTTTTGCATCTATGCTTGCTGACGTTCCTCTCAGTGTAAACCAGTAAGACTTCCTTGGTCACCAGATGCATCAGAAAAACCACTGTGGTTGAGCAGCACTTTTGCCAGACCAGCACTAAACCTATGGAAGCTTATTTTCACCACAAAATAAAAAGGTAATTGCGACCTTTTAACTCACAATTCTGATTTGTCCTCACAAGTTTGTTTAAAAAGCTGTCAATTCTGCGAGATAAATTCAAAACTGTGAGATACAAACTTGGAATTCTGAGAAGAAATGTCAGAATTGTAAGCAATAAAACTATACTATACAACTTTTTTCTCAGAATTGAGAGCTATAAACTCAACATTGCGAGACAAACTCAGAAGTCGTAATTGAGAGATATAAACTTAGAATTTACTCAGAAATAGATGAGGCAGCAAGAAAATTAATGCTGGGGTGTAGTATTTACTTTCCACTCAGAAATTGCTCAGTTGAGTTGATTGATTGGTTTGTAAATAGGATCAATTCCATGCATTTCATCTTTCTTTTTGAAGAACATGTGGTTTGTAAATTTCTGTTCTGATTGCATGAGTGCACTAAATCAAATCATTTTCCATTGTGTGCTGCTTATCGCTATGGCCTTGAGCTAGTGACTGAACCGCAGGTGCACCACTGAGAAAAGCTTTGAATGAAACGTGCCTGATAAACGTCAACTAACGTATCTGAGACAGGAAAATAAGACCTCGACAAATCTGCATCTGCTGTCGTCTTCTGTTTCACCAGACCCTGAACCACCGAAACCACTATTTTAGATTATTATTAGATAAAGTGAATCAGCCTGTAATGACACCAGCCTTGAGAACAAGATGGCAAACACGATCTAGTCTCACTTGCACAATTCCCGGCTAATTCTGCACAACCGTCTGAGAATGTTAAAGCTCCGTTTGATGTTTTTCTGTCTCTAAACTGCAGTTTCCTGTCAGAGAAGGTCACAGGCGCTCCACTCTATCCAGACAGCAGATAAGGTGCCAGCTCCATGCCTGCTAGAACAACCATCCTTGGGCATTATTATTAGTAATTTGGCAGGACAGGACCAGACAGCCGCTCTGCCTGCCCGGGGGAGCGTCGGGATTCTGGGCAGAGTGGATTATCAGAGGCCCTTTGGTCCCATCCGCAGGTTGGGAAAGGAATGATAACCATCTCAAGATGACTGCCATGTGTGCACAACCAAAAAGAAAGAAAAATACGGAGAGTGTCAGACACACCTTTGGAGTGACCTGTTTTCATTGGACGGGGCCTTACCTGAGCTGGGTGTAATTGACATCTGTGTCCATGGCAACCCAGAGGGGTGATGTCATGAGATCATTATGTATGCAAGACTTGGAGTTTATCACATCAAGTGAAGCGTGTGGCACACAGACTGATTTTGATTAAGAATTTACGTATTACAACTTAGGCAACGATTCATTAAGAGTCATTCTGCATGAGCTCATTCACAAATGACTTACAAGACAGCCACCGTGGAGAGAAAGGCCCACATCGCTTCCTCCGCGTCCGTGTGGCTCCGTGCGCGCTTGCGAAACGGCTCTCGGGGTCACAGCTTCACGTCTTTCCGGTTTGTTTAATCCGTTTGAATGCAGGGTTCGCGGATGTTCCCGCTGGCGCCGGTGGACTGCATCTTTTCACCGTCAACGGGCGGCAAGGGGTCAGCGGGGTGTGAGCGCGCCGCCGCCGACACGGATGGTTGCGGTGCGCGGTCGGTAACGGGCAGGAGGCGGAGCGAAGCTGAATCCTCCGGAGTCTGAGGAACAGGTGAAGCGAAGTTCAAACGCGACCCACACCTATGCGCCGTTTCCGCTCGTAAAAACTTTTCGACAGACAGCGAAAGGTTCTCGCCCAGTGTTTTTCAAGCAGTCCGAGAGTAACTTTTCCTGCTGAAAATGTTTAGGATTAAAACTCCGTGGAGTGCATGCGCACGCATGAGAGTTCGTGTCACTGCTGGTCCGCTACGGGCGAAATGACGCGCTGCGGGAGGCAGAGCACCTGGACGGGGATGGAGCGATGAAGACGCGGCGGCGGCGAGCTGGACTCCGGGTACCGCGGAGCGTGCTCGGTCATGGCTGCTGCGCCGGAGAGACGGCGGCGCGGTCCAGGTCAGATGAAGGGGGGAAAGTGAAAGCAGAAGGAAAGCGGCACACGCTCGCAGCTCCCTGCACCTGATTTCCCGGACTCAATTCTGGAGCTCCAGCGCAACAGCAGCCAAAACACGGGCCGATGACATCACCTCCAAACTGTTTGAAGGGGGAAAGAATGCAATCTGAGCTTTTTATTTATTTTTTAAAAAGAAGAAAGTTTGCAGCTCCCCCCAGTACAGCGCAAAAGTCTGCCCGACGAAAGCGCTTCGATCTGTGAGGGAAAACGCGTCTTCTTTTTGCGCATTAAAACAGGCGATCCGTGCACTGGAAGCAGCGTCCACTGAACCTGCGCCTCCTCCTCTTCCTCAGCCGCTTTCATTCACAAATTCACGTTGGATAGAAAACTAACAAAGCTGGAAAGCGTTTGCGCGGCTTGTTTCCTCTCCGCTCGTTTGTCTTCTGAAGCTCCACGGCAGAGCGCAGAAATCACTCCAAGAAAAAAAAAAAA